CTGTTCCGCAGGGTGTAGATCAGGGGGTTGAACATGGGAGCGATGATGGTGTAGAACAGGGCAAACACTTTGTCCTCTGGGAAGGTGGCGGCTGGTCTGATGTAAATGAAGAGCACAGGCACGAAGAACAAAACCACCACCATCACATGGGAGCTGCATGTGGAAAGGGCTTTCCTGCGGCTCTCTGCAGAGCAGGCCCCGACAGTGCACAAGATTAGCACGTAAGACAGCATCACAACCACAAACACCACCAGTCCCATCACGCCTGAATTGGCCACCACGAGGATCCCGGCTCTGTGTGTGTCAGTGCAGGCCAGTTCCAGCAAAGGGAACACATCACAGAAGCAGTGGTCCATTTTGCTGGGGCCACAGAAAGGCAGGGTGGTAATGAGGAGGCCCTGGGCAAAGGAGTGCAGAAATGCCCCTGAGCAGCATGTAGCGACCATCGCAGTACACCTGGGCCTGCTCATGATGACGGCATAGTGCAGGGGCCTGCAGATGGCCACGTAGCAGTCATAGGCGATCGCCGTGAGGATGAAGACCTCGATGCCCCTGAAGAAGTGCAGGGCGAAGAGCTGAGCCAGGCAGCCAGTGTGAGAGATGGTGTTCCTTTCTTTCAGCAAGTCTGTGACTAGTTTAGGTGTCACTGTGGAAGTGTAGCACAGATCTGAGAGGGCAAGGTAGTTAAGGAAGAAATACATGGGCTGGTCAATCAGCTGGCTTTGAGTGATAGAAATCATTATGAGCGCATTCCCCATCCAAATAGCTAGGTAACAAAATAAGAGCAATAGAAAGCACAGGCTTTTAATTTTCTTGTTCTGGGAAAGTCCCAACAGTATAAATTCTGTTACCTTATTTGTATTTTCCATGGTCGAGTGCATTTAAAATTCAATAGATTTGGCTGAAAAAAATAACAGGTCAATACGAGAAGCATTGACTTAGAACAGTATGGATCATACTGCAACAGAAATAAGTTAATGTACTTACCCATCTCCCTTATTAGTAATACTAAAGTAATTAAGCATACATTTCCTATGGAGAGGCAGGCCACATAATTCACTGTCCCAGTCAGGTTACACTGTGCAATGAAGGTAAGTGATACCGATGGCTACATTTGTCCAAGCACAAAGGTGCACAGTGGTCTTGCTTATGTAAAGTGAGGATGCACCCCGGGAGGAAGCCATCCTCGTTGGGGACTCATTTGCCTCCTCACTATGTTGGAAGAGTCAGACTTAGGGTGAGGTCAAGTCCGAGGTGAAAGCTTATCTTTATTTACATTTTCATTGTGAAATTTTCACTTTAAGAAACACACTGACCTGTGTATCTTGCTAGTTCTACTGTTTGCACGCAAGGTGAGTATGGGATTTGCCTCACCCAAGTCTTGATCTTGGGTAGAAAAACATTACGTATTTGTCACCACAGAAAACAACAAAGAAAGCGTAATACCACACAAAGGCAAAGGAACTAAGGTATTCGATTTGCTTTGCATAGATGGACTAAAAATAATACTCGTGGCACCCAAAATCTGCCAAGGGAATGGTCCCAAGTAACAGCACACATCAGCTTGCTATTGTTTTTTAAGTAAATGAATGATTACATATACTGACTTAAAATGGTTTTGTCATCTCAGTTTTTAAATGTGACTAAATTATTTTTAAAATGATGATTTTGTAAAATAGTGGTATGTAAAAATATTTGTTTCAGAATATCACCCTATTTTTAATATTCTATAATCAGAAAAACATTTAATATTTTTAAAAGCAACCTTATTTTAGATGATCAGTAAATGAGTTTTCAGTGAAACTGGCAAAATATTTTTATAGTTGCAAGCATACCTTAGGATCCTTTCCAAGGGTCTTGAATAATAATAATTTAATATTTTGCTCCCTACAGCCCTTGCAGAATAACAGTATTCATAAATAGAATAAAATGCTATAAAATACACTCTGAAGAATCCCACTAGTTTAGGCAGATGATTTGAAAAGCCCTCTTTCTCCCATTTCTTTCTCCAATGCTAACAACCAAATAGACAAATAGCTACATCGTTGGAAGATTTCCTTCCTTCCTTTCTCCCTTGGTTCAACGTTCTTGGAAAACTGACTTTGCTGGGTAAAATCATGTGCCACGGCATCTAGTTCTCCTCTAGAGTCCAAGTTCCCTGTTTCTGCATTCAAGAACGATATAAGGTGTGTGTGTGTGTGTGTGTGTGTGTGTGTGTGTGTGTGTAACTCATTGGATTCCGATAATGACTGATAACTTGGTTTATAAAATATGATTGAAGGATGTGTGGAGCGGGCTGTTTTTCCCATGCGTTGTTCGCACAGCCGGGTAGTTTAAGTCATCTGTGGACTTTACACTTCCAGCTCCTTCCCCGTCTTCCTTTGGGATAGGACAGGGTCACAGCACAGCTTGCCTCCAGGGTGTGACAGAGACAGTTCGTCCTGTTAACTTACCATAGCTCTCCATCCATTTGTAGTTTATTAAGTATAGCACGCTATAATAAACTTTTAAACCACAGTTTTTTTCATTCCAGTGGTAGTCAAGTCTGTCAATGCCCTTCTACCTCCAGAAAGCTTCCTTTGGACTTTAAAGCTATGGAGAGCTTTACATCCTTAACTCTCCCTACAGAACTCCCACTGATCTCATCACTGGCCCTCAAATTGAACAGCCAAATTGTTTGATCTTTGTTTAACTCTTCCAAGGCAGTTCTGGGAATGGGCAGCTGCAGTGTCTTGTCTCCTTTATGTTCTTTATGATTTGGTAACAGAGTATACATCGATGCATGAATTTTAGACCCAGCCATTATTTTAGGCAAGTGGCTTTTCCATCTCATCTGGCACAAGAAAACTAGCTCCCCTGAAACTCAGTTCCTCCCCTTTCAAT